GTGTCACTGGGGTGGGGCTGGGCGATGCAGGGTGTCAGTGGGGCAGGACTGGGGCTGTGAGTGCTGTGGGGTGTCACTGGGCGATGCGGGGTGTCAGTGGGGCAGGAATGGGGCTGTGAGTGCGGTAGGGTGTCACTGGGGTGGGGCTGGGCGATGCAGGGTGTCAGTGGGGCAGGGCTGGGGCTGTGAGTGCTGTGGGGTGTCACTGGGGTGGGGCTGGGCGATGCAGGGTGTCAGAGGGGCAGGAATGGGGCTGTGAGTGCGGTAGGGTGTCACTGGGGCAGTGCTGGGGCGATGCAGGGTGTCATTGGGGCCAGGGCCGGCTCCAGGGTTTTGACCGCCCCAAGCAGCAAAAAAAAAAAAAAAGCCGCGATCGCGATCTGCGGCGGCAATTCGCAGGAGGTCCTTCGCTCCGAGTGGGAGTGAGGGACCGTCCGCCAAATTGCCGCCGAATAGCTGGACGTGCCACCCCACTCCGGAGTGGCCGCCCCAAGCACCTGCTTGCCAGGCTGGTGCCTGGAGCCGGCCCTGATTGGGGCAGGACTGGGGCTGTGAGTGCTGTGGGGTGTCATGGGTGGGGCTGGGCAATGCAGGATGTCAGTGGGGCAGGAATGGGGCTGTGAGTACTGTGGGGTGTCAGTCGGGCAGCTGGCAGGGATGGGGCACTGGGGTGGGGCTGAGGCTCTGCAGGGTGCCAGTGAAGCAGGGATGGGGCTGAGGTGCTGCAGGGTGTTGCTGGGACTGAGGCTCTGTAGGGTGTCACTGGGGCGCTATAGGGTGTCACTGGGGTGCTGCAGGATGTCACTGCAGTGAGGCTGGGATGCTGGGGGGGTTCACTGGGGCAGGGCTGGAGCCAGGGCACTGGGGGGTGTTGCTGGGGCCAGAGTGCTGTGGGGTGTTGCTGGGACAGGAATGGAACTGGTGTCAGGTGCTGATGGGGTGGCACAGGGACAGAGTTGCAGGTGTTGGGGGCAGGGATAGTGCGGGTGTCTGTGCACTGATGAGAGCTGATGTGGGGTAGCTGGTGGGCGGCATTGGGGCAGCCATAAGGTTGATGGGTTAATGCAGGGTCTCCATTGCCCAGCACTGTTGGTTTCCGACTGCCAGGCACCCATCACTGTGTGCAGCCCATAGCCTTTCTTACCCTGTTCTCCAACCTACCACTTAGCTACCACTTGTTGCTCGGTTTCTCTGACTTCCTCCCTACTCCATCACAGTGTATTGTGTTTAGTTTTTGCACACTTATTCCACTGACTCCTCAAACTGTTAAGCCCCTTCAGGTCTCTGGATGAGTGCGGGACTCCCCCTCACGGAGCGGCTTTCAGGGTCATGGCTTTTCAGTTTAACTTTTCTAAAAATGAGGTTACCAAAATAAAAATAACAGAGTATCACAGAGTTCTGAAAATAAAGAACATGTGGGCCTGGTTAGCAAATGTAACAGCAGTGCAGTAAAGTGAAAATCCAATTTAAAAAGAATTCAATATTCCAAAGGGGTAAATTTGAAATTTAGCAACCCTGAATTCTAATAATCCTCTTAAAATAACACACTTTACAAGAATAAACATGTAAAAAGGAAACTGCAGTGAAAAGAAGATTCTAATTCTGACACTGAATTATAAAAGATGAGTAAAAGAACTTATGAGCACCAACTTTTAGTTATTTAAAATTATTGAATGTTAATCTTCTATGTAGAGAGACAAGGTGGGTGAGGTAATATCTTTTATTGGACCAACTTCTGTTGATGACAGAGACAAGTTTTTGAGCGCCACAGAGCTGTTCTTCAGGTCTGGGAAAGGAACTGCCAGCCTCACAGCAAAATGCAAGGTGGAACAGATTGTTTAGCATAAGTAGTTAGCACATATTGTAAGGGACCATTCAAGGTAAAGTGGCATGTTTACTCTTCTGCAGTCCTAGGACAAAGGAGGGGGTTTATAGGTTACAGATTGTTGTAATAAATCGTAAATCCACAGTCTCTCTCTATGGTCCATGATTTTTTGAAAGCATTGTGCAGGTTTCTTTTGAGGATGAGGACATAAGTCAGCAGACCGAGTGAACGCTTTGTGAAAAGTGTTCATCCACAGGGACGATAGGGTGTTTTTGCTGCTGGTAGTTCCTTTACCAGACCTGAAGAACCTGTGGCTCAAAAGCTTCTCTCTCCAACAGGAGTTGGTCCAATAAAGATATTACCTCACCCACCTTGTCTTTCTAATATCCTGGAAACATTACACGACTACAACTACACTGCATACTATCTTTTATATAGACAATCTAATTAAAAGTAGGCTAGAGAGTGCTGTTACTGGAATGCATTGGAAAGTAGGAATAATTCAAAATTATAAATAAAATTCTATTCATTTTTGTGCTTGATTAAAGTAGTTAAGTAACATTTTTTTTTGTGCTAATTCACTTTGAATAGGTATCTGTGTGTATATAGTTATATTTATATTGATCCTAATCCTGCAAGAGTTTAAGCTTATGGTGGATGCTACTATGGAAATAGTGCCATTGATTTAACACATCCTTTTAAGTGTTTGCAGAACTGGAATCTTCCATAGTGGGATTAGTCTGTACTTCAGTACATATTTGGGTTTCTTTTCTTTAACATTTTTACTCTATGTATCAAAATTCTGACGACTGGACCGAGCATATTCGTAAGTTATGACAACTTTATTTGGTGTTACAGTGCCTCTTCCCTATAAGTCATTTTGTATTACAATTATTGTATTGTAGCCCCTGTGTTAATTACAGATTATTTTATAACATAATCTTCCTTGGTTTTGTAAGACAATCTTCAACAATCACAGACATTCTGAACAACTTAAAAACAAAAAGAGAAATAGATGCATGTGTGTGTGTGTGTGAAGATCTTGTTTTTCCTTTTGGGCCATTGATAATTGCTAGGGTATTTATTAAAAATAGAATCTCTTTTCACTTTCTGTCTCATTTGTACACTGGTATCACAATTTGTCATCAGCATGGAAGTGGTTCTAAGTCAGGGGTGGGCAAACTTTTTGGCCTGAGGGTCGCATTGTGTTTCAGAAATTGTATGGAGGGCCGGTTAGGGGTGGGGGTCGTGGCCCGGCCCCCACCTCCTATCCGCCCCCCCGGGATTCCTGCCCCATCCACCCCCCCCTGTTCCCTGACGGCCCCCCCTGGGACTCCTGCCCCATCCACCCCCCCTGGCTCCCTGTCCCCTGACCACCCCTGGAACCCCCGCCCCTGACTGCCCCCCACCGCCCCATCCAACCCCTCCTCTCATTCCTGACGGCCCCCCCCGGGACCCCTGCCCCATCCAATCATCCCTTCTCTCTGTTCCCTGACTGTCCTGGGAACCCCTGCCCCTGACTGCCCCCCACCGGCCCATCCAATCCCCCCTCTCATTCCTGACTGCCCCCCCGGGACCCCTGCCCCCATTCAACCCCCTGTTCCCCATCCTCTGACCCCCCTGGCCTTGCCCCCCCCCCCAGCTCCCCTGCCCTCTATCCAACCCCCCCGCTCCCTGCCCCCTTACCGCGCTGCCTGGAGCACTAGTGGCTGGTGGCGCTACAGCTGCGGTGCCCGGCTGGAGCCAGCCACACTGTCGGCACTGCGCAGCATAGAGTACCAGGTTAGGCCAGGCTCTGCAGCTGCGCTGCCCCAGAAGCTTGCAGGCCCTCCCCCCCCCCCCCCCCCCCCACCCCACCCCCCCCAGAGCATTGTGGTGGCGGTGGGGCGAGCTGAGGCTGCGGGGGAGGGGAACATCAGGGGAGGGGCCGGGGCCTAGCCTCCCGGCCCAGGAGCTCAGGGGCCGCGCAGGAGGGTCCCATGGGCCGGATGTGGCTCACCGGCCGTAGTTTGCCCACCTCTGTTCTAAGCTCACAAAAACCAAATTGTGGTAACGGTATCTGCGGGTTACTTAGAAAGGCAATCACTTGTATTATAAATATTCTGGTAAAGGATGGGGGAAAGGAAAATGCAGACAGTAGGTGACAGTTTAGGGAAGCTCTGATAACCATTTTTTAAAAGTTTGCTCGAGTGCCTCCGCTGTTCTTTTTAAAAGTGCATGTGTTAGGATCATCCAAGAGAGGGGGAACTGGAAGGGAATGTATATACAGGGATACATTTTCAATTGCAACTTCCATTAGCTTCAGTAGGTGTTGTCCATGCTTAGATTTTGGCCTACAGTAAGCTTGTTTATAAGGGTTGTCATAGTGATTCAAATTACTAGTCATTGTGGCCTGGTATCCTATCTGTATTATATAGTGCTGTATATCAGACCGTTGCTTCCTGGGAAGGTAAAGATCCCTACATTTATGCACCTCTCCAAATGGGCATTATTATGGGGGTGGGGTCGGATTCCTTCCTTCCCTCCTAACCCTCTCAGGCTATCAGTTTATTTGTTAGGGTTGCTGTCTCCTTGTACCATCAGAAAGAATACTTGTGCAGTTGCAAGTATTTTTATTATAGTGGGACTTCGGTAGTGGTATCTTTTTGATCATTTTATGGTGTTCTCCTTTACTGCAAATATTTTGCTTCACAGGTGTGCTGAGGATTCTGACTGAAATGTTTCTGCCTCATATCAACCTTTCAGAATTAGAGCAAACCTTTTTCTCAAAAGTGTTACCCAAGGTATGATGTCTTCCGTAATGTGAAGAATCAAATATCAATACAATACTAAAAATCTGGTTACTACAAGGTCTGTAGTAGTTTGTATGATAGAATTCTTGTTTTGAAATCAAGCTAATGTTTGAAATACGTTCCCTTTCACTCTAAAATGGTCTCATGATTTTATATCCTGAGTCCTGCTCCTGTGATTTTTAGTGTTGGTTTCAATGGCAGGAAGAGTGGGCCAGTGATGTTATGCATGATGTAGTCAGTAACAAAGTGAATTTTAAAAGCCTGTTTTGAGAAAAATTGACCTATTAAAACAGATGATAAGCAAATGCAGAATTACATTATTATGATTATGATCATTTATTTATTTATTATAATTTGAGGGTGCTTCTTTGGCTAAATAAATTGCAAGGCCGAAGACCAAAGTATTTGTAACAAATAACCTGTAAGGCCAAATTAACCTAGGATATGGTCAATCCTGACAACATGAAATACTCCCTATTTATTATAGCTATACTGAAATTCTTAAATTAAATATTCACATTTTAAATGAAATAGAAGAGACTACAATAGGGGTTGCCTAGCTCCCATTGTCTGTAGGAGTTTAATTCCCTAGAACCCCTGATTGTAGACAACAGGAAGTCTGTAAGAGCTCCTGGTCAGTTCCTACCCCAATATTAATCATCCTCAACAGATTTTCAGAGCATAGAAAGGAACTGCTTTATAATGTGCATATCCTAAACCTGTGTAATTTCACCACATCAGCGATGCAACATTCTGTATATGCTTGGAAAGAGCTGCTTATATCTTTCTAATTCCACGACTAACAACTCTAAGGCATCAAGACCAACCAAAAGAAAAACAGATCTTCAAAATGACATGACCTCCAAACCTTTTCAGAATAATAAACTGCCTTTAAAACAAAACAAAACTCTCTGTCTCCAAAATGATTGATTTGAACCAAACTTAAGAAAAGTCTGTGCTAGAGTATGATGTATTTTATAAAATTTGTAGTAATGTTGTTAATAATATTGGTTAAAGTTGGGGTTGGAGGTTAAATGGGAAGCTCCTTTAAACTAACTATAGAGAGACTCATTTCTGTGTAATAACAGAACACATGATATCTGCCCTCATCTTAAATAGAATTGTGACCTATGGAAACTGCAGGTTATGACATGCAATACTTCTTGCTTCAAACAGCTAGGCTATGAAGCATAAGTGTCTGCATTCCACACCTCCATACCAAAGATGAAAGTGAATGTATGATGGGTGCCCTGGTTTTATACTGGATATATGTTGGAGTCTAATAATATCAGTTTTATTTTAATTTGCTTTATTCTGACAGGCAATACAATTATTTGATGATTTGTTGTATGAATTATCCAGTCAAGCCAAAGGACTAACCAGCCAGAACATAGAATTATGCAAAGCGGTGAGGAATGTTTTACAGGTAAGTCTATTGAAATGAGCTGTAAGAGGAGTGGTTAGGTGATTATATGTTTTTTACCAAAACTGTGGAGAGATTTGTGAAGTGTTTGTGCCAGTAACAGCTGAATGTAAAATTCCATTCTGGATTTGTCATAGTGCAGCTAGTTTGAATATGTCAGGCAGTGTCCATATATTTCTGTTGATAAAGGGTAGTTCAGCATGTGTATAAATACTTCCAGCATTGGGGCCTTAGACCTCCAACCCTCAGTATTGTTAGTCTTGATTTTCATCATGTTGCATTGTGAGGTTTCATGTTTATCTGTCATTGACTCTATATGATATTCCATCATCAGTAATAAAGATTCTGCAGGCCAGATTCTGCCCTTAATGACACACATGCAGTTCCATTGTATTCATTAATGTTACAAAAGTGTAACTGAGGGCAAAATTTAGCCTGCAGTTGGATTTGAGTTAAAAATTTGGTAGATCACGTGTAAGCCAGAATAGAATCAATTTTTTTCTCCAAGATCTGGATTGGGTCAGCAGTGCTAACAGGAATAAATAGTAGTGTAAAAAAAAAAAAAGGCAAGCAGATGTTGTTCTAAATGCTCTCAAGGAGCAGAGTCGGTATTTAGGAAGGTGCTATTTTTTTCATAATCACTTTTTAGGGTATAGCTGTGCTTTAAAAGATCTGTTAGTTGATACTGTCACAAACATGATTCTCACGTAAAGAGAATATGACATCACAGAAAAGCTGTGGTCTGAAACTGCTGCTGTCTTTTTTACAGAGCTTCATTCATCTTTCTGGCTTCCTAATACTTTTCCCTTTGCTAATGTCCTAAAAGACAGAGAACAGTTTAGCCAAATGCACAAGGGAAGAGCTGCTTTATAATTTTTGCTTTTTGAATTAACTGCTGCAGTGTACTGTTATAGATTGTGCCTTCAGTGATGATGATGATGATAATGATCTTACTTGCAGACTATGGTGCAGCTGCTGGAAACTCTGACGGGTTGTGTGCGACATATCTGTACCCTGCAGGAGCCTGTGCCTCTAGAGAGTATCCGTACCCTTCCCTCTTCCATTCTTTATGTAATCAAAAACACATTTATGCACTGCAAGGTAGGTCTCTGGATTAATAGGGGAAAAAACTATTCTAGATCTAGTTATAGATCATTTAAAAAAATCCTTGAGATGTGATTTTGCTTTGAAAAGTTACATTTGTGGCTTTCCATATTTGTTGTCTCAATATTGGATCAAATGTGCTCAGTTTACAAGTATGAAGATGGCTTTTCCATCTGCCAGCCCTGCAAACTCAGCGTGGCCTCTGAAAGCCAAGCTGTTATTTCCATCTTGTGCATTATTACCAGTAATAAAGGTTCTTCTGATTAAATTCATACCGTTTAAGATGAGAAGGGATCATTAGATTATCTAGTCTGATCTGCACATCACAGGCCATTACACTTCACCCAGTTACTCCTGTATTGTGCCCAATAAATTGTTTAACTAATTAGGCCCTCATTGACACCTGTGCAAGCCCATTGTCTTCAGTGGGTTTGCAGAGGTGTAAGTGATTATGGATGTGTTAATATTAACCCTATGTTTCAGTACAAATTTCAAGGCAGACTTGTGATTGGGATTAAATACTTTGCGTTATGTATAAAAACATGTTGGTGTCGCATTTTACAGCACCTGCACATGGAGGAAAACTGATTGTTGTGCTTGAAACCTTTCCTGCTATAAGCAGTGCCAGTATCATAAGACATAGTAATTTGTCATCCATCCTACTGGCATCAATTTCACTTTTGAGCTTGTCTTCCTTGCGTATTAGAACCTTTAAATACTTATGGAGCCAAATTACACAGTGAGGCCTTGCTAAGGACTTCTCCTCCGGTAGGCAATCTATTATTAAGAAATACTTTAACATACTGGGAAACTTTTGGGATACAACTATGTTTGTCATGAAGTATGGTCCTAGATTTTGGTAGAAATCTGATTTTAGAGTCATGCATCAAGGGTCTGATCCAAAGTTCAGTTAAATCACTAGAAAGACTCTTGCTGATTCACTGGTCTTTGGATCAGGCCCTAAGTGAGTGGTATTTTGTATTTCGTGCATAGTAACCACAGATGGCTATTTAAAATCTACAGCTCTTGCTGGTTGTGTGAGTTGAAGTAGATGTTTGTATGCCTTGATTCTGCGCCCATTGACATTTGTAACAAAATTCCCATTGATTTCAGCAGGAGCAACATCAGGTCTTGATTCTCAGACATTTTCTAACGCTCCCTAATCCCACATTTCCTACAGGACAGCGAGTCACTGTACAGTGAGTGCCTGCACTTGATTTCTGACCTCCTGCAATCTCTGTTTAAAGAGACCTATTCTCTTCAAAAGCAGCTTATGGAGCTGCTTGATATGATCTCTATGGAATCTGCTTCTGCTGAGGACAGTATTGTAGATATGGTGTCAGGTGTGTATATGAAAGATGTTTCTTTATCCTGCCCAGCCCCCTGTTTTCTACAGACGGTGGGCCTGATCCCCCAAAATGCAGCGCACTTCCTGCTAGATGTTGAGCACCCTCAATTCCTGTTGCCTTCAGTGGGAGTTAAGGGCGTTCAGCACCTTATAATTGGTCAGTTTTCCAGAACTGGAAGTGGTTTTGCAAATGCAGTGATGTGACAGCTGTGTTTGGTTTTTTTCAGGCATTGAATATACAGGTCCATTTAAACTCGGTGTTTGTTTGCTCTTACTGTTCCCTCTGCAGTGATCCACACTGTGCTGGAGATCTGCTCTGTCATTTCCAACATGGACCATGCCCTTCATGCCAACACATGGAAGTTCATAATCAAGTATGTTTTAATACTTTGAATGTTGCTGTTGTGTATCCCAAGTGTATTTTAGAGCCACTGTTTTATAACTTGTTTAAAGCTAGACTTTTCAAAAGTGCCTATGGGAGGTGGGGCCCTGATTCCCACTGAAGTTCAACCAGTAATGCATTCTCAGTGGAAAAAGTTATGAGCCTTGTCTTAGAAAGTGAAACACTCTTTTATCTTTTTTATAATGTGTTAAGGAAATAAATTCTAAATACAATATTATGATTTAAGTGTTCCCCAAGGGTCTGAATTGGAATTCCACCGACACTGTTGGATTAGATTCTGTCACCTTGTTGACGCATCCTGTATCCCTTCTGTGCTTCAATAAATAGTCACAATGGGACAAGAATGGTTCTGTCTCTGTGTTCCTTGGCGTTTGTCAGGACACCGCCGCATTAGTGCACTCAGATACCATGGTGACGGGTGCAGTGTAGGAGCCTAGACAGAGTAGAGTAGGGTCTGTGGAATAGTGCTCATGATGACCTGTTGTCACTTGATTTGTTTCTGACAAGCATCTGATCCTGCTCCTGTCTGGCTTTTTTAGGCAAAGCCTCAAGCACCATTCCCTGCTACAGAGCCATTTGAAACACAAGGACATCCTCAGTGGCCTGTGCAAGGACACCCTCTTCTCGTTCCATTCCTGTTTGCAGCTGGCTGAGCAGATGAAGCTGTCTGGGACACAGGTGAATGAACAATCCCCCAAAACTACTTTTGGGCTTGAGAAAGAGTTGGGTTAGGAAGCACTGCAAAAATAGATATGTTTGCTATGCAGTGTTATTGGTGAAAAAATAGTCTCATTTTACACACTAGGTACTTCACATTGCTTACAAGGTTCTCTAAAAAACCACATTGAAAGGGAGTCTAATAGCACTGGTTAGCATCCAGGATACTTTGGGTAGATACAAAGAGTATTCTCCCTCCCACCGCTCCTCCAGTACTCTATCAGGAATCTCATTCATTTCACATACTGCTGCTTTCACTAGGTCAATTAAAAGATAACAGTTAAATTTTGAAGATTCCTGTGAAAAATTGTTTCAAGATTCCAGGGACATCACACATTCTTAGGGGTTTTCCCCAATTTCTGCTGTGTTTGTGTGGAATCCAAGCTTCCTTTAACAAACAAAATAAAGCTTCTAGCCCTGTTAGTAATGTATCTTGCAATGTTGCTTTCTTTGATATCTTCTTAGTCTGTCCATGGTGTTTTCATTGCTGCTTTCCTTTTTGATAGGAGACCACTGACTACAAGTTGTTCCAGAGGACAGTCAAACTGTGTAGATTCTTTGCTAATTCTCTTGTTCACTACATCAAGGTAAGATTTATTATATGGGTCCTACGTGAGTATAAAACTAACTCTGTACTATGCAAATAGACACACTGATCAAGTATTTTGTGTTGCTACACCATACTTATGACTGTGGTATCTGGATGGCATAATTAACACCCATACTTACCTGCTTGTGATTTATTATCTCACATGTAATACAATTTGGATACCTAATACTGTTCACTACTTCTGCCTATCCTTTGCTAAATAGCTGCCTTGCTGTATTCTTCCAGCTGAACACCATGCTCTCTGACTCCATCAGATTTCACACGTTAAGCAGGGTCAGTACTGTACCTGGATGGGAGCAGCGAGATGCAGCAGGCATTGGCATTGATGAGTCAGTAGAGGGGTGCTTATCCCTCACAGTTGGCACTGGACCAATATTGCCTTGAAAATGTAAACAGACAAACAGTTGTGAGGGGTGTAAGTTTGTTGCTGATTTATCCATAATGTTCACAACATATTCCTGGTCCCACGTCCAGCATCCCAGGGCTGGCATTTGTCCACAGGACCCTCAACTTTTTTCAGTGGGCCGCAGATTAGTTCTCAGCTGAGGGAGGTAGCTCCACCCAGGAGGCTGCTGATTTTACGGGACCGCTAACAGCTTCCTACTAGCAGACTGCCTTCATTTGAACTTGTTCAGTTGCTGAGAAGCCAATATGATCATTTGCCACTAGGAGGATGAATTTGATAGCATGAGAGGCAGTATGGTCTGGTGCAGTGGTTTTCAACCTGTTGCCCGCAGACCCATGGGGGTCCACAGACTATGTCTAAGATTTCCAAAGGGGGTCCATGTCTCCATTCAAAATTTTTAGGGGTCTGCAAATGAAAAAAGGTTGAAAACCACTGTTCTAGTGGATTAAGTACCCGACTGAGAATAAAGGATTCCTTCATTCAAGTCCTGTCTCTGTGCCATAGTTTCCGTGTCTACAAAATTGGGATATTAATACACACATCTACCAAGTGACGGTGCGAGAGAGAAACAGGTTCACCAGTGGCTTTGGGGCCTAGTGATCGACAGACCCCCAACTTACTTGAACAACTGCCCTTTGCAACATTTGTCTAGATGTTGGCAACTATCCATATCACCAGCACAAATAGTTGGATTCCATTTCTGCAGCAGGAGGCTGGAGGTGGGGCGATACCTGAAGATCTCAATCACTGTCCAACATCTTTTTATAAAATAGGGTAGTTAAGTTTGGGATGTAGCCAAGAGAATCCCCTTCCTAACCCTCCCCACAAATCCTCTGGCTAGTCTTGTGCAGCAGTGTAATAGTGGTGAACAGGAATCAGTTACATATGGAGATGGGTGGAGAAAAATTGTTACACAGAAAAAGGTGTAAGGCTGTCTCTGAATGTGTGAGTTCTGGTGTTTGATTGCTCTTTAAAAAGACCTTAAGCTCCCTCTTAAAGCAAATGTGAGCAGGAGATTTAAAAATAAATAATCTGGCTGGACTCTTCTTCTCCTGGGATTTTCTGCAAGCTCCTATCACCTACCTAGGGATAACTACAGAAAACCTCTTTCCTACTCTTTCTCTCTGTCTTTTCCTTCTCCCCCCACCTCTTTCTTCTGATATTCTTATTTTAACCTCTTGGTACCCATTTAAGTAACACACCAAATAGCAATAACAAATGCAGAGTAGATAATGAGGTATAGAATCACCTTGTCTGTTGTGTTAATGTCAGTTATCTTTTTGTTTATGCATGGGATAGAATCAATAGTCTTTAAAATATGTGAAGAGTGCATTTTTGTTTGTTTGTGATTGAATGTGGTTATTGCTCCTGTAAAAGAAGTTTAAGAAAACCCTTAGCTTATCATTTAGCTTCCTAAAGAGGAGAAACATATGATAATTTTACTTGATAATTTGTCATGTGTTGTGCATTTTGCATTTCTTTTGCACTATGTATCACAGCAGGCTACAACTTTTAAAAATTAGACTTCATAATAAAGCATTTCAAAACAAAATTCAAGTAAGCAGAAGAAAAATATATTTAATCGTTATTTCATTTTGAAAATACCATTAAAAATTGGTGGCTTTTGCAGGAATTTATTCCTTTCCTCTCTGATTCCTGCAGTCGATTACACCAGCTGTATCTTCAGATATATAGGTAAGTGAACCACAAAGAATAGCTCTTTGATTCCACTGCAGTGGAATATCTCTGTATCAGCTCTGAAAGTGTCTGTCGTAGTTACAGCAGTTCCAAACGTTACAAGACTTGCAAAAATAAAAGATCGCAGCAGTCACTCTTTGATTTGTTATACGTAAAATAGCAATTGTGTATAGAATTTCTTTGGTGTATGGAGGTCAGAGAAATTTGTATTTCCTCATGGGAAACTTATTTTGGGTGCTTTAGTGTGGTCTGTTTGTCTGTGTAGCTACTAGTCATTTTAACCTATCCTCCAAATGCCACCAGAAAGGGAATCAGTGCCATGAATACCAACATGTTACCAAACTCCTCATTCTGTTGCATTTTCTTCTAATAGATCCGATCAGTGGATCTACCTGGGTAGACCTTACTGTGCAGATGGAGCCCTTAACTACTGATTTTCTTGTGATTACTCACTCCACAGGGCCTCTGCAATGAAATAACGAGGCAACATTTTGTTTTAAAAAAAGTAAAGTGCAAAAGAAATTTAATGCACTATTAAGGTTAAATTAAACCCCACAAAGGCTAGGAAATAATTATTGTCCCACAATAACCATAGTTCTGTTCTGCTTGGTGCTTGCACTGTGACAGAGTTTGTTATTACGTAATCACTTAACAATGGGACCTGCTCTTTCTCCTTTTAATTGAAAGTACGTGTGTGGTGGGACAGTTAGTTTATTTTAGTTGCATTCTGGTGAAAACATAAACCACATTTTATGCACCTCAGCAACAGTTATTTTGTAAAATAGTTCTTTCACTATGATCGAACATGGAAATATTCAGCCTGAGCAGATTTTTTTATTTATTTAACAAATTTAATGAGGGATTGAAAATAGAATTTCACTAAAGAACATTCAGGCCTTAGAATTATACCAGGGGTAGGCAACTTATGGCACGCATGCCGAAGGCGGCACGCGAGCTGATTTTCAGTGGCACTCACACTGCCTGGATTCTGGCCACCGGTCCGGGGGGCTCTGCATTTTAATTTAATTTTAAATGAAGCTTCTTAAACATTTAAAAAACCTTATTTACTTTACATACAACAATAGTTTAGTTATATATTATAGACTTATAGAAAGAGACCTTCTAAAAACGTTAAAATGTATTACTGGCACGCAAAACCTTAAATTAGAGTGAATAAATGAAGACTCGGCACACCGCTTCTGAAAGGTTGCCGACCCCTGTATTATACTGTAATCTTGTAAAAAGGGAAGATGCCAGGCTGGTTAATCCTTGCTGAAACACACTTTGCTGCGGCTCTGCAGACAATACATAGTATCATGGACTTTAAATTGCTTGTCACTTTTCTCTGAGATAGGATACTTATTCAGTTTGCCCTGGCAATGAGGAAAATAGCATAATGTAGGCGTAATTGAGGGCACATTTTGATGCTGCACTTGGAATTTAAGCCCAGATCCTTCAGTGAGTTGGGTGCAGATGGACTCTTGTGCACATTTCATTGCAAGGTCACGTTCTCAGTTAATCATTTTTGTTGATGATGCGCTCTCTCTTCTGCATGTGCTGACTTGGCAGGGCTTACAGGAGTGAAAGTGTTAAAAACTGAGCAAATTTATTGAGTAAGAAGGTGCCATTTTTACATAGTCTCTTTGTAATCTGTTTCTATAATGCTCATCTTAGTAGTATCTAAGGGCTTGTCTGCATGGGGAAATTTACTGGTACAATTATACCGCTATAGTTATTAATCATGTTTAGTATGGTAGTGCCTAAGGGCCAGCGAAGAATGGGGCCCAATTGTGCTAGGCACTGTACAAACACAGAGTAGTAGACAGTTCCCACCCAGAAGAGTTTACAATCTAATCAGAGCAGACAGACATGGGGTGCGGGAGTAAGAGTGTCCACGTGGGGAATTATACCGATATAATTATGCTGGTAGATAGCTCTGTGTCAAATAGCCCTAAAGTCCTTCCTATACTTCCTACACCTTTATGCCATTCTAGTTTTGAAAAACATATCTTTGCAACTCTTATTTTTTATACATAAAAGTTTTAACTGAAACACTGAAAACTGCCACACCCATGCCAATTTCAAAGTGGAAATAAAATTTAACATCTACCATTACAAAAAAAATCACTCAGGGAGATGCTGGTTAAACCTGTTCTTTCAGTCCTGGGAGATGCAGAAATTCATAACTTAAAAAAAAACAAAACAAAACAAAACCCCACCCCAAAACACTTTAGGCCTACCTCTTAGGCAGGCCTACACTTAAAACGCTGCATTGGTGCAGCTGCAGCACTTAAGTGAAGATGCTCCTACGCTTACAGGACAGCTTCTTCTGTTGGTGTAGTTAATCCGCCTCCCCGAGAGGCGGTAGCTATGTTGAGGCGAGAAGCTCTCCCATCAACATAGTGCTGTCTACACGGGGGGTTAGATTGGTATAACTGTTGCTCAGGGTGTAGATTTTTCGCACCCCTGAGAGACGTAGTTATCCAGATACAGGTCTGTAACGTAGACCTGTTCTTAGACTAGTAGGGTGACCGAATGCACCTCTGTATTCACACCCTACACACTACTGTAATAATCTTTGTACAAAAGATCATGGTGAAATGTGTGTAGCAACATAATATGTAAAGTAGTGAACATAAACTGAAATTATGACTGAAATGTTTTTACCAGACAAATCTGGGAAGGAGGTAACCTGTTCCTTAGAGACAACGGACAAGCTAACACCTCTAGCCTGGTGTCATCAAAGTTGATTGGCAAATCACCCATCAAGTGGCCATTTGGCAGTGAATGGGAGGCAGGAACAGATTGATCTGCGGCCAGGTATAACTATGAATTTGCATTGGTATAACTACATCACTCAGGGGTGTGAAAAAGCCACACCCCGGAGCGATACAGTTAGTTATACACCAGTGTAGACAGAGCCATGTCGATGGGAGGGCTTCTCCTGTCAACATAGATACCGCCTTTCGTGGAGGTGGATTAACTATGCCGCCAGGAGAAGCTCTCCCATCAGCATAGTAGCGTCATCACCAAAGCGCTATAGTGGCGCAGCTGCACTAATGCAGTGCTTTAAGTGTAGACCTGCTCTGCGTTTTAGCAAGCAACAACATGGAACCTCTTTCACCACAAGATGCCATGTCTCTGTCCTCACAGTGGGAAGGAAATTTATCTAGGGGTAACCCTCCGGAAAATGCATCTCAAAGGGTGACTGGACTATAAAAGTGAGGGGCAAAAACACCCCAGGGATATCTTTCTTTCTCTCCCTATCTCTCTCTTGCTCTCTCTTTCACCCAAGAAGACAAAGGAACCAGCTCTTTGACTTGGTGAGGGCATCGTGACCTGAGAATTTGGTCAGCCCTGTTGCTGGGAACTTGGGATAAGGATTTTACCTTGAACCAAGACTAGTTTCGTTTTAGCTACTAGAAAGCATTTTATCTGTATTTCTCTTGTAACCATTTCTGACTTTAATATTTATACTTGTACTCACTTAAAATCTATCTCTTTGTAGATAAATAAACTTTTTATTTTTTAACCAAACGTAATCCAGTGTTGTCTTTAAACTGAACTGTTTGGGTAACTCCAGTTAAAGTAGCAAACTGTTGGATAATATCTGAACTGCCCCGGAGAGGCTGAACAGTGCAGAACACACATTTTGGGGACAATCCAGGACTGGGAGTGTCTTGGGGTCACTGCAAGTAGTAACCAAGTACTGCTGGAAGCCAGTATGTGGCTGGTGTTTGCTGACAAGCTGCTGGTGTCAGAGATGCTGGACCAGGACTGCAGCAACACACACATACTCAGGAGGTGACCTGCCTGCTGTTTGTGAGCAGCCCAGGTTGGGAGCTACAACAGCAAAGCATTGTGAGGCACCCAAATTTGCAGGGCAGGTGGTGACAGAACCCCACACTGGTCTGGATTGCACCCCAGAATGTGACAAATAGGTTTTCACTTGATGCCCTCTCCCTCTCTGCTGCTTTCTCTCATTCTCTTTCCTCTTTTTTTTTTTTTTGGACTCAATCTCTTTTTAATATTTTGTTTCTCACTTAATCTTCCTAAGTTTTCATTTCCTGCAAAGCAAAATGGCGTTAACCTGTTATCACTAACCTGCAGGCCAGTATGTTGGTACTCTCATCATCTGGAACAAATTAAACCTACAAATGTTTCCCTTTGAAGTTTTCCACTCGTGCACCTATTGAGTAAATTCCTCTTTGTATGCACTTTTACCATTTTTCAGCAGAAGCAGATTGGAGAGTTTTTCTTACTGTGGTTAATAAAATATAGGCCTTCAGTAGTCGGTTTAAAGGCAGAATATAGACACATGCTCACCATTTTAAAATACATTGTTAGATATGAAAATTATGCTTCCCTTTGCTCGTATTGATAGATCTGTTACTCCACAATAATAGATTTCAGAGTAGCAGCCGTGTTAGTCTGTATCCGC